GGGATGAGGTCTGGACTGCCAGGATCAGGTCTGGACACACTCAACCCCACGGGACCCCACTGCCCACATCCATCCAGGTCGATACCGACCCGTCTACTACCACTCTGGGTGTGACCCCTAGGCCAATTTGCCCCCCACTGCACCGTGTAAGCATGTACGTCACGGCCTCTTCATTTATTGATGAGACTAGGATGAGATACCGTCTCGAAGGCCTTGCTAAAGTCCAAGAAAACGACATCCACCTCTACTCCTGCGTCTAAGCCTTTGTGACCCTGGCATAAAACGAAACCAGGTTGGTCAGGCACGATCCCCCTGCTACGAACCCATGCCGGCTTCCCCGCTGCATTATTTTTCCTCCTGGACTCCCACAAATACGATCCTTCATGATCTTTTCAAAGACCTTTCCAAGGATGGAGGCGAGACTGACTGGCCTGTAATTACTCAGATCCCCCTTCGTCCCCTTCTTGACAATAGGGACCACATTAGCCCCTTCCAGTCCTCCGGGACCTGGCCCGAGCGCCATGAGCGCTCAAACAGCCGAGCCAGCGGTTCTGCTATGACACGGGCCAAGTCCTTCAGTACCCTGGGATGCAGCCCATCCGGTCCATCCAAGCGACTCTGCACCAAGCCAGCGCCGACAGCTGGGGGGCTGGTGTCCCTCGGATGCCCGTCTAAGAGCCCCTTAGGAGAGTTATCCTGAGCCCTGTTCAGGAACACCAAGGCAAAAAGCTCACTGACTAGCTCAGCCTTGTCCCCCACCTCTCTGTCACTAATTGCTCCTCACTGTTCAGTAGGGGTCCCATGCTGCCCTGCGCCTTCCTTTTACTCCCTACGTACCTAAACACAGACTTTTTCTTGTCTAACTTGCGTTGCCAGCCTCAGCTCTGCAGCTGCTTTGGCATTTCTAACTGCGCCCTGCAAGTGCGGGCCAAGCAGGTATACTCCTCCTTGGTAGCTCTCCCTGCTTCGTGGGCCGCCTAGACGCCACATGATCTGCCAGGTGGTAGGCAGAAACTCTACCACACAGCCACCACTGCTGCCTCGCGACCCTGGTGCACAGGAAAGGTCCGCAGGAAGAGTTGAGGAACCGGAGGCCCATCACCCTCCTGAACTTCGACTGAGAAGGGCCGGGGCCCGGGGATGCCAGACATCCAGCTCTCCCTGTGGGCACGGTACACGGGCCAGATGTGCAAGCTGGCGACTGGGCCAGCAACCAGAACAGCCTGTCTTGACAAGTGTTTTACAGGTGCCCTCCTGAGACCGTGGGGCCTTCGCTGCAGCCACAGGGAGACCGTGCACCACGGGGCAGCCCTGGTTCTGCAGGGTGCTGAAGGATTTCCAGAGCGAGTACCGGCTACGGACAGAAAACCCAGGCCCTTGTCCAACCCCAGGGAGATACAGAAGGCAGTCAGACACAGAGACGGGCTATCGACCGTGGGGCTGCTCCCAGCTGACGACTGCAAGGCCACCAGAGACCAGATCTTCCACAAAGAAAAGAGCACGGGGACTTGAACTGGCTCACAGCTCACGGCGCACTCCCAGGGATGGCGTGGAGGCGCAGAGCGAGACGAGAGGCCAGGCCCAGCCACCCAGGGCAAGCTGCCAAGCTGGGGGCGAGACCCTCGACCACCTCTCTTGGCTCTGCCCCGTGCCAGGCGCGCGTGGAGCAAGGTAAGCCGGCTCCGGGAGGAAGTGACTGGAGTCCGGCTGATGACGAGGGAGGCGGCGCTGTACGGACACCCGACGAAGCATCCGGGGGCCCCAACACCCCGCTTCCACCTGTTTGTGTCCTGCGTGGGGAGCGCCCCGTGGCAACCCCCTGGTGTACAGACACACTCGGCTTGAGCACCCCAAGTACCGTGGTGGCTTAAGCAGCTCCAAGGGCTGCCGGCCCTGCGTAGCCCCGGCTGCACAGAGCCCGAACGCAGACCTAGGCCCGCATGGAGGCAGCGCCCGCGGGCGTGCTCCAGGAAGGGGGTCGGCCCGTCGTAGGCACACCGGGGAGATACCCGAAGCGCTGGTTTATGGCTGGGCGCGGTGAAGCGGGTGGTTCAGTGCTGAAGCCCGCCGTGCACCCCACAACAGATCCATCAGCAGTCCTGGGTCGTACACCTGCACCTCCACAAATGCAATCTCTCTCCTCCGGCGCACTATTGCCCGGACAGAAAATACGTAGGACCGACCAGACAACAAGTGTGCGCCAGGACGAGCACGCACCGGAAATCCCTCCGTGCCACAAACCCCCGTTGCCTGTGCGGGGCATTGCTCACAGACAGCCCCTCTCCCTCCAGTCTCAGTTCTGCTCCTCAACGGGCATTGACCAAACACCTTTCACAGACGAGCCCACGACCTTCACGGCAGACATTGCTGCATACAAAAAACATGGACTCAGTGCAGACCTTGGACTTAGGGCGCGTTACATCCTGCCGGCCATCCCATAACCCCAGCTACCCATCTACATTGACCAGCTCCGTTCTGGCACAACTTCAGCGTTTCCCCCCGCCCCGCCCGCCTCCCGTCCTCGCTGCCGTGCATTTTCAGTCTCACAGAAACGAAATCTCCGTTGTGCAGACTGGTTTCTATTTGACCGTTCTTGGCAAGAACCGTTTGTGCAAGTCGCTTGTGTGCAGAGGTGTCCCCCTCCCAGACTCTCCTTTCCCGCTAGTAGCAGCTGCACACCTCTTGCTTCTTCCTGACACCAGGGATGGTAGCTGCACGTCTGGGGTGACTTGTTTGCTTCCTGCTGGAGCATGGCTCAGCTTCTCTGTCCATGGGCGATGGCTACGTCACGCGTGCTCCCCGCCCCGTAAGGGATGTGCCACAGGCTCGTGGCCGCGGGGCCGGCCACGACACCCTCCGGCGAGATGCTGGCTGAGGCCGAGGCCGAGGCCGAGGCCG